TTAAATCCTTTCATAAGCCCAAGGTTTATTCTTGCTACATTTTAGCCTGTGTTTTTCTGGTTATTTATACTTCATAGGTGAGTGAAAGCATCCGATATCCAATATCTATCTCTCACTTTCTAACTTACTTCACTTAACATCTTGAAGTCCATCCATTTTGTTCCAAAGGTCACTCTTTTATGTTTTTAACAGCTGTATAGTATTCCCCTTTGGATTTTAAATATATTAAAAATACACACAACTCTGACACGGGGCTCCCACACCTGGTGGGCATTCCTGCTCCTCCTGATCTCCATGCTGGGGTGACCATCCCTCAATCTCTCTCTCCCTTAGCACTAGGATGCCTAATTAGGGTGGAGGAGGGCCCTCAGGAACCCCCCCACCCTCCCCCACACACAGTGGAGCCAAAGTCTCCCATCAACCCTGGCACCAGACCTCCCACTCTGCCTTCCCACCTCTAGCCGCCTCTCCAGGGGGCAGTGACCTGGACACACACTCACTACAGAACCTGCTCTAGCTGCTGCTGTTTGTTCACAGTTTCTAATTCAATGTTTTCAATTTTGAACTTAACCACCTGGCAGTGGTTTATTATATAAAGAAAGTTGTATATATCACGTTTGAAAGACACAACCTTTTAAAGTAGGACTAGCAAGTTTCTGTGTCTCGTGATTGTGTACACGTGTGTGCTGTTCTGGCCACCTGGTTGCCCCCAGCCCAAACACAGCAGCCAAAGCAACCAGGTGCCTGTGTGGAAGGGAGGTGCTGGCTGTGTCAGTGCCGCCTGTCAGGGGCGCAGTGTCCTGGGGGGCAGCAGGCAGGCACAGTGCTTGTGGCCCCCAGGACCACCAACAAGAGACAGGCTGCAGTTCCAGGTGCTACTCCCCTTCTTCTGGCGCCAGGTATCCCCACCTTAGGGATTTCTGATCACCACTAGTTCCCTCAGTGAAACTGCCTGGCTTTTCTGGCCAGAATTTTAGAATGAGCTCCCTTTAAAATGATTTCATTATTTTTAATGGTATTTTTTAAGACTAATCACTGACAATGAAAAGAGTTTAAAATAGAATTTTAGGCTTCCAGATTTTAATGGCCCTAGAAAAACTCCATTGTTAACTCAGAAGCAGCTGCATAAGTCTAAAAAATCAGTTCGCCATTTGGCAGGGTTTCTTAAGAAATTTGAAGCTCAGCAAAAAGTTAAATAAAGTATTCTTGAAAATCTCCCAAATGCTCAGGAACTAATTTCCAAGAGAATTTTGTCCGTTCGCTGACTTACGTGACACCAGCTTTCTAACAGCAAGTTTATAGTACTGACCTTTTAAAAGGTAGGAGAACGCACAAAGCCAGCGCTACCTGTCACCAAGCAAGCAGACAGCTCAGTTCGGGGCCTGGCTGCCTCTCCTGCTGCCTTCTCTCAGGAGAGGCTGGAACAGTGTGGTATGCAGTGTGACAGCACCCAGGAGTCCCCAATTCTGGCTTCACACTGCAACCTCTAGGGAGCTGTCAGCAAAGTCAGGTCTGGCCCCACCACAGACGGACTCTCCTTGGGGGGACGGGGGGGGGGCAAGAGCCCCAGAACATGCATGCTCTCCCGGGTGACTGTCACGAACAGCCAGAGGTGGGTACTGCACATGCAGACAGTGACATTTTTGGTAGACCAGGGAGGAAAGGTAACACGAGACATCTTCAAACACTTGTTTTGACATCTGTTCTCTGACAGCAAGTACTGACAAGCTAGCAATGGTCTTGAAGGATCTGAGGCCAGGCTTCCAGATTCTGAAAGTGATGGAGTCAACAGCTTTGTTTGCCATCAGGCGTGAGAACCTTATGGCTTCTGAAGGGAAAAGTTTCAAAAGGTTCCTCACTCTGAGGTCTAGTAGAATCTGCAAAAATTATTCTATTTAGGTCAAGCTTGCTTGTCGTCAGATCACAATGGCAAGTGCCCCTCCATGTATGAAGACCCGTTTTCAAACATGCAGTTCTCATGACAGCCCAATGGGCAAATATCGTTATCACTTTCTTGCAGACAAGGAAACTGGGCTTCAAAGATGCTAGGTGATGTGCTTAATACTCAAGTCCAAATTTTAAGCCACAAAACTCATCCAAGTCCACCCCAGAGAAGGCTGTCAGAATACCCTGCAGCACAGCCCCCGCCCCCTGGGCACACGACTTGTAGAGGCTGCTAGCAATGTTCCTGGAGGTTAACACTCCATCATGAGCATTAATTCCTCTGCTGAGAGGAAATGGCCCTGGCCTATCCAGGACCCAACTGAAAGGGCAGCAAATGGATCACCCTCAGGCAGCATGGCTAAGGCAATACCTCTCCCTTCCATGGTAACACAGAAGGGCTGAGAGTAGGCTGTGTGGACATGGATCTTACACACCCAGGGAGGACACTGGCACGGGCAATGCCCACACTTCATTGTGTGCTACCAAATGATGGTGACCAGACATGGTGTGTGCGGGTGGTAGATCAACCACTGCTTGGCAGGAGGGCCAGAAACGACATGCTCAGGAATGTTCCAGAAACAGTGCGGCTTTATGAGGCAATTACAAAGTGGCTTCTGAAAAGACACAACTTTTCAAGGGACTAGCTTTCCTTCCTTGATTTGTGACCTTTGCACCCTGTTCAGGCTGTTTCACATCTGGAAAGCACCTGCACCTTCTGCAGCGCAGACTTTGGAGCTTGGTGGGAACACTGGCTTGTCCAAGAGCAGCCTTGCATTCCCAGAACACAGCATCACTCACTATGTCCTCTGGGCGTCCTCAGCACGTGCTGGCCCTTGACAACCCCAGCTTGTCTAGTCTGCTAATGCTAAGGCACTGCCTCTCCACCTGCCCTCTGCAGGCAGGTGTCCAAAGGCAGACGCAGCGACTTCATCAGGTCTTTCCAGACAGCGGCAGGGCAGGGGACATGCTGGGCTAAGATAGCAAAGGGACACTCAGGACCCCAGCAGACAATGCAAGTCCAGTGAAAATCCCTGCTCAAGTCACCGGCCAAAAAAATGTGTTCCCCAACAACCAATAATGGCAATGTTGGCAGGATGGGATTCCTGATTCTTCCCAAAGGTGGAGTAACACGGAGTAACACGGAGACAAAAGGCCATCGGGTAGCAAAAGGGTCCCATCAGCTCCCCACAGCACACACCCAAGTAGCAAAGAAGGTGTTGAGAAAGGACAGAACTTTCACAGTTTCACACGCAAGATGCTGCTCGCCCGCCAGGCGGTCTGCAGATAAAGAGGAAAAGAGCAGACAAGGGTCCCAGGCTGCATGTAGAGGGCTTGCTGCCAGCCACACTGCAGGCGCAGAAGCTCCAGGTAGGTCATGGCGGGGTTCAGGCTGGCTCATGTGATGGGGCAGAGCTAAGCATGCTGCAGACACTGTTCTCACGCCTAGCCAACTGGAGGACACCCCAAGAGAGGAGTTCTAACAGCTGTGCACTTGTAAACTGACCTCATCGCTGACCCAGTGGCCCTAGAAACCCTCCCAGTTTCCTAATCCTCCTAGGAGGTAAATAGCCTCCAGCTTGAGGCAGCAGAGGCTCTGTGCTCTGGGACGAAGCAGAGAGAGGCAGGCCTGCCTGCACCCTGCTGGCCTCCTTGGCACACACAGACAACAGTATACACCTGCCCGCAAGCAGCAACTCTCACTCTGCACTGAAGCAAGACTCACAGACAGCTGGGCTGGAAGGAACCTAAAGCCACCTCGGTCACCAGAGCTCCCCTCCGCCACCCAACATGGTCTCTCAGTCAGCACTCCACTGCCTGCCCAGGAGGCACTTATGGGTCACACCCACCCTCCCTGCCTCATGCACCCTGACCTATGCATCTGCTGTGCTCCAGCCACACCACCCACCCACACTTTCTTTCGAGACCTGCGTTTGCCTGAGAACCCAGGCTGGAGTTTGTCCTTCCTATGCCGCTGCCTGGGGTCAGAAATTTTTCCCTATGCTTGCTCAGCTACGGCATAGCTTGGTCAATGCCTCCACAGTTCTCTGCCCCTGCAGCCAGCCCTTCCTCCTCTGAGCCTCCCAGCATATGCCTGCTCCTCACGTGACCTGCATCTGCCTGCAGGCCCTGACCCTCCCTAAAAGGAGTGCCAACCCCATCCATCTCAGTAGTCCTCCCAACACTCAGCTTACTGAAAGAAGGAGTAGCTAGTGGCTGCATAGGTTGGAGGGGCTCTACTCAAAGGGGGCTCACCCCCTTCCCTGAGGCAGGCCTCTCAGACAGACTTGATCCCCTGAATATGGTCCTGGTCTTCATGATCAACCACTGTGGATTAGAAGCAAATCACAAACATCCTAATCAAATCCACTGCTGAATTTCAAACCCCACTTATTCCTGAAGCACAGATGGCCCCAGAGAAGAGAAAGAGCACACTTGTGGGAAAGCGTATGGCAAAAGGCACCTCGGTTGACAGTGGTAATTGATTCCAGTGGCTAAGAGAGCAAGCGCTGGGCCTTCTGCCTGCAGAAGTGCCCTGGAGGGCCTAGCATCCCAGGTTGGATACCAGGTGGTGGCAGATTCACACAGCTCCTAACACTGCCCAGATGGTCAACGCCCCCTGCCGAGGCCCTGAAGGCCTAGCCATTGGCTTTCCATGGCAAGCCGATGACAGAGGGTGAGAGAGTCCCTGCTCCTCAAGGTCTGGCCCAATAACCTGGCCCGCTCTGAAGCAGAGGAGTCCGACTTCTGCTTCGGTACAGGTGACATGCCCTCGCAGGCCTTGCACTCACATAGAAGGGGATCACCAGACTCCCATGGTTGAGTCAGGCCAACCTTCCCCAACCACAAAACTACAAAGACTACACACAAATCTAAACTCAAACCTGAGGCAGAATTCGGGGTCAGTGTAAATGTACGTGTGGTCTCGGAAGTGCAGGCAGAAGGAACCAGGGGCGGAGAGGCACTGCCTGGCAGGCTGGGTCGGAGGTCAGGAGCGCCGTAGCAGGCCGCTGACCGCACACCAGCTTCTTACCAAGAGCAGGGAGGGGGCTACATACTATTTCGTTTGCTTTCCTCGCCGCCTTCCTCCTCATTCTCAGGATCAATGTCTTCTGCTTGAGTAATCCAGTCCAAGTAGCCCTTTAGGTCCTCTTCTAGCTGCTGCTTCTCCCGGAGTTTCTGGAAATCTCCCCGTGCTTTAGCTTTCTCTCTCTCTTTGGAGAATTCTCTGAGGGAGGCAAAGAGGACAAGCACATGTAAGGACACTCGGGGATGCAGCCTCGTGGCAGGACACATGGCGCTGAGTACAGCCACATGAGCACAGCAGAGGCCACACACGTGAACAGGACAGAGGACAGTGTCCCCCCAAGCAAGACCGTGGGTGTCAGATTCACAGAGACCACACCGACACACATGCACTGTCCCTCAGAAGTGAACTTCCTTCAGCATGTCTGTGACCCAAGGAGCCTGGGCCCAAGTCACAGGCGCTGTCGTGGCGGGCAGCCCGAACCCCCTCCAGATGCCTGGACGCGGCCGTCCCACCTCCCCAGGTGCCTCCTCAGAGAGCCGGCCTCTCACTTCAGAGAGAAAGATCGAGGAGAGCCACACTGCGGTCAGAGAGAGCGCCGAGCTTAGGGCTTCTGCAGGACTCTCAGATACACAGGCTTCCCCTGGTATGCTGACCTCTTTGTTCGAAGCCAGAGCCCTGAAGGTTCTTCTGAGCACCCACACCAGGCGCCACCCCCCATCACGTGCATGTCCAGACAGATCACTGCCCTGCGTGACCATCTCCTGGACCCGTTCTCCCTTCCCGCACCCGAAACAGCACTGGGGAAGCAACGGTGCTTTCTTAACTGATACTACCATGACCTTCCCCCCCAACATGTTTCCGGTAGGAGGTGGGGAGGCATTATGCTTTGCCACCCATTTATGGAAACACCTGCCCTGGGAAGGCCTGGGACGTGTGTTACTGTTCCCAACTGTCTGCTGTGTACCTTTCATGCCTGCCATCCTATAGCTGTGCACATGTACAGAATTCCACTTTTGCTCAGGCAAGTCTGAGAGTCAGGTGGGTGATTACCCAATTTTCATATACAAGGAACCATCTGCATTTCCAACCGTGTATTGTCACAGGAGCCAAGATATCCCAGGCAAGGTTTTATTAAGTACAGTTACCAAGCTGCTAAGAAAGCAGATGAGGTTACAGGCAGCACACTTCTGCACACAGACCTTGGGTTCTGACACAGCTTACACCTGCCACCTTTCCACCTCCCCTTCAGTCCACAGCAGGGACTTATTAACCCTGCCCTCCAAGAAGGGAGAGACAGACAGCCTGCTTACATGAACACCCATTCCTGTGGCTGCATCAGGTAAGGAATCAGAACCCTCAAGGTGCCACACACCCTGCCCATCCTTAGAAAGGATGCCATTCATTGCTTCTAAATCACCCACTTTTCGGCAGCCCCAGAACCTGTCCTCACCTTAGTTAGGACTGGTTCTTCCCCACCTTCACCCTCTGGGAAGCCAGGAAGAGGCAAGAGCCAGGTAGAGGGGCATCTGGGCCCAGCTCACAGAGTTGACTCTGCAGGGTGAGAAAAACTGACCCAGACTCAGAAGCTTTCTGCACTCTCCCTGGGGCCTCTCCTCCTGCTGAGAATACCTTTCTGACAAAAAGTAGGGTCTCTGCAGGCAGGATTTTGCTGTTCATGCAAACCACACCTGGACGATCTCTGGGGCTTCCTGAGATAAGGACATGCACAGCTCAGCCCCGGGGGAGTTCACCCAACTAACCCAGACCTTGCAAAACTTAGGCCCAGTCTAGGAGCACATCCCTAATAGCAAGCGGGGCACCTGGAGTGTCACCTGTGGACAGGGAGAGGCATCCTGGAACGCATTCTCTTAAAATATCACAAGATGTTTTAACAGAACAAGTGGCTTTCAAGTCTACTGTTGACCAAAAGTACCTACAAACAAACCTCTGTTCATGTTTTGTTTCTAAACTTAAGAGTATTAAATTTATATGATTTCAAACAGGCAGTTCTTATTTTGGATCACATCTGATGTGAGTTCTTGAAGGAAAAAAAAAAAAAGACAAAAGACTGAGATAATTACCTTTCAAAATTCAAAGAGTTTACAAAAGGGGATTTGATCTTAATATCACGTTTTGCCCAGTTGTGTTACATCAGGAACACAAAGCCGCTCTGCACCAAGGGGCATCACTGTCGCACATCCCTGGTCCCTGGCATAGCATGGCATGCGGAGAGAAGACCTACAATTCCTGGTACGAAAAATATCACCAAGTCCTAGAGTACGGCCCATTTATTTTAAGTAAGTTACTATTACCAATACGCCTGGAATAAAGCCACTAATAGAAACCCTCTGAACTGATTTTCAGCTGTTCTGAGTGGCCTAATAGCAGGTACACACCGCGTGCTTATTTGGAAAGAACTGAGATTTACAAGGCCTGTATCTGCTGTCAGCAACGAGACGGGGTGAAGGGGAAGGGGCTAAGCTGCCCCCTGGGCCTCACAAGCCAAAGAGACACTGTACCCGGAACCAGTCAGCCTGCCCAGCCCTGAGCCCCTCGGCAGTCTCCCGGCTGGGCACTGCCACGGCCCAGGACTACAGGCCAGACGTCCCGAGCGCGGGACACCTGCTCCACACTTGGCCTGAAGCAAGCATGGCACACACGTGGCCGCACAGGCCCAACGTGACTACCACACATGCAAATGGGCACACAGTTTGCTCTGGAATTCATTATTTTTCAAATGCCCCATAAAATAAACGGGCCATGGGCAGTCATCTTGATTTAGAGATAGGGGGCCGGGAGGATGGGACGGGGTATACGCTATTTATTTTAACCAGACCCACACAAATAAAATTTAGAGTAGCTAAAAGCCTTGCAGGTTATGTCGGGGGAGGGGGCTTATAGGAAGGAGGAGTCTGGGAGAGGAGGGAGGGGAGGAGGAAGGGAACAGAGCAGTATAAAACCACTGGTGAGCAAGGCCAACAGTCATAGGAGTCAGATTTCCACTAAAACAGAGGATCAGAAATTCACAACAAAACAAACAAAGCCCCACCAAAGCAGCATTTATAAAAAAGCAAAGAACAGGGGGGAAGTTGAAAACGTAACCACTGATTTTTATCTGCAGAGGCCAGTATCTGCAGTGGCCAGAAATAAAATGAAAAAGTAATTTGGTTCAAAAAAAGTTTTTACATACAAATCTAATTTCTTGGAGAGGACAAAAATTTGGTTTCTGTGTAAGTAAACTAGGTGTTTGTGAAAAAATTAAGTGTGTAATGTTTCACTCAAACAAATGTTACTGAGTGGCTCTGGCTCAGTTCAAAGTCCATCAAGGTCACTGCCTTTGCTCCAGGGTTCCCTCAACCACAAAAATCCAGGAATAGCCAACGCCTGTTTCTCTGCATGAGACAAACAGGGTGGAGGGCTGTGGCAGGGGCTACTGCACCCCAGCAGCCAGACCTGCCCCTTCGCAGACGATGTCCACAGAGCCTGGCAAGGAGGCTGGGCCGGGGCAGCGTTCTGCACCACGAGCCAGGCGTTGGCCCCTGAGGGCGGCACTGCCGGCCGGCAGGGGACCCAGAGAACACGGAGGAGCTTTGCTTACACAGGAAATATGTGGGGAGAAATGTTTGCTGATCACACTTCTAATTCCTCAACACACATGTGGCTGTTCTTTGGGAACTCACCACTGACATAAGCCCCATGGTGAATCCTTTTGTCAAGGGACTCAGTGCCTCCTAATTCTGCTGTTCAGGAAGGTTTGGGTGAATGGAAAGATTCTCTCAGAGCCAGCCTCCCCTTTCAGATCCTTGGCTGCTTTTATTGATGTGGAAGTCTGTGCAGATGCTTTACAAGAAAACAGTCTCCATCACTGGGAAGATGAAGCATTCTCAAAGTAGGTGTTTCTAGCTTTGACGGGGTAGGCTGTGATGTCCGGGGCAAGCCTCGGACCAGACACACAGGCCGCATGTGCTCCACTAGAGGAGTGGGAGTGGGGCGGAGTAGACAAAGCCCATCTGCCTGGTCCTCTTTGGTCTTTTTCTGACCTCACCTCTGACTCTGTAACTCTCCACTCCAGCCACCTACAGCTCCTTTCCTTCGCAGCATGGAGCTCTCTTTCAGCAACGAGCTACGTGTGCTGCTTTGCTAGCCTCCCTGCTCCTCCAGAGGTCGCCCTCCTTTGTGTGGTCAGCCCATAAGGGTGGCTCTGTCTTTAGAGTCTCTTGGGTGAGAGCCTCGCTTGTGTGAGATTTACTTCACTGCTCTGCAATTGCTACTTAGCATTCTCCTTTACACACTGGGCTGTAAGGTCTGCAAAGGCAGGACTGTGCCCACCTTGTCTCTGTATCAGTCTCTCATCACCACCCCAAGCCATCAGCAGTCATTCAATAGCAGCAGATTAAATTAATGGAATAAAGGGTTTGATAGGCTCAGGGTTGTTGTTGTTGTTGTTGTTTGTTTGTTTTTTTACATTAATGATGATTATGTCAAAAAACAGAGATATGTAGGCTTTGCATTGGACATATCTGGCCACAAATGCCCAGGTAACTTTCAATCACCTGAAAAGTAGACTTGTTACTATTAGAAACAAAACAAGGACAGCCAGAGTCCTGTACAAGCCTAAAAAGTTATGGATAGAGGGGCCCTCCCTGGTGGCGCAGCGGGTTAGAGCACAGCACTGAGAATCTAAAGCCACTTCCGCATGAGTTCGATCCCCGCCTGCCCCGGAGGTGACCACATGGAGTGGCAGACCTCTCCTGACCCGCCCGCTGCTCCCCTTAGCAGTGTACTTTGTCGATCTGCCTGTTCTGCTCCCCACCCTGTCCCTGGTGAAGCCTCTCACTGCCCCTGAGCCTCTGGCCAGTTCTGTATGGACAAATAAATAAATCTTAAAAAAAAAAAGTTATGGATAGAAGCAGAGGCCCTCATTCTATAGGGGTAGAGAGGGGAACAGGATCAAAACTGGGGTGGGAAGAGCACACAGGACTATGGTGATGGCACATGAATGAAATGGTGGTGGGAAGTTCATGGGATTACAGCTGAGATGAAAAATATACAAAATGAAAAATGATGTAAAATATATATATATATAAAGAAAAAAGAGACATAGGGTCTCAGACATCTTAAAATTGCTATACATACTTCCTCTACCACCTCCTCTGTCTTCTGAAGATAGAAGACAGGTTCTCTCTTTGAACAGTTAG